ATTTTTTGAGACCTTTTGTATTATCATCCCATATAATCAGTCTGATTTAATGTGCGAGTATTGAGGGTAATATCAGTTATCAGTCTGGTATAACTGGTATGCAGTTATTCTTTACTTCTGCAGCCGTCAGCAAACACCAGCAAGCTTATGGTAGGTAAATATCAAATTGCCCTCCTGTCTCTGCAACTTTCCAAACAATGGGATCATCACACAAGTTTACAGATTCTACATGTAACAGGGCGCACAGCTAATGCTACTGAGGTGATAGTAAAATCAATTCATGTTAAGTTACTTTGGAATGAGTGAGACTAAGTGTGCAACAGATCACCACAGATACCTCTGTCTTGCTATTTCATACAACTTGAATATTATTAATTAACACAGCATTTTAGATCTCATTCTAAAGACAACCAACACAGATCAAAAGGCAAAAACAGGAATAATAATAAATAACAATAAAACTGTAAGAACAAATGAAAACTATAATGAGACAGGAGGTATAGTGCAGCTACAGTACTGCGGTTAAAAACATTAACATGAGTCAGATCTGACATGTAATATTGTATTGTGGTAATAAAAGTTCCTTTGCCTGGAACTAGTAAATCCCAATGCACTGAAAAGTGCACCAGTTAAAGGGCAAAGATTGTGACATCACTGTTTGCAGACCTCTGTCACATGATATGCCTCAGTTTGTATGCTAGTGGTACTGCTTGTGTACATACAAATACAAACACAGCTGACTAATTTTCCTTCCTACTTTCCCTGAAAACAAAGAAGTTCAAAGAACTTGCATCTGAACTCTCCACCCTCACTCATTGTTTGTGCAGACATGTGTGCTGTTATCTTGTTACTAAACTTTCTCCATCCTTCTTCTCTTGCTTCCTAACTCTTGCTTCCTAATTGTATGCACATGAGTGAATTCCAGCGGATGGGAGAGGTAGAGAGGGAGGGTGTGATGTCAGAGGTCAAAGTTTAGATTCTGACCTTTGACCTCTTAGTAGAACCCAACTGTGTGGTAATTCTGTGTGTGTGTGTGTGTGCGTGTGTGTGTGTGTGTGTGTGTGTGTGTGTGTGTGTGTGTGCGCAAACCAAAAGGCTCTCTGTAATCACAATCACAAATGCACACACACAAACACGCGCACACAAGCAAGTGATGCAGGGGGTTACATTGTGAAAATGGGAGGGTGGCGAGGTGGGGTGGGGGTGAAAAAGGGGGAGAAAAATGGGAGCAGATGTTCATCAGGTCTACAAACCCCTCCTCCCTTCCCTTTATTTTTTTCCACTAGTAGTTGTAGCCTCTTATCTGAAGGAGGCTGTGTGGGGCTGTGGAGGAATGACTTCACTTAATCATGAGTTTTTCAATAGGCTGAGTGTGCGAGTGTGTAGAGGTTGTAGGAGCACACACAAGCACAAAAGTGCATGCGCACAGACGTCAGTGTAATGCAGTTGTTTTAATCAGGAAATCCACTCACATCCAATGGTGATGTTGTAATTATGGATTAGTCAGCTCTACTATCTACCTCCTACTCAACCTTCCATTCAGTTCTTATAACCCGCAGACAGCTCTTAGACGTCCTTCCTACTCACTGAAAACCAATATTGTTTGATCATCAAGGGGTTTGTTAAATATTTCAGAAAACATGAATTGTTTTTACATCATTTCCCTGGAAACATCTTATTAGACTTGGCGTGCAGTATAGCCTAAAGTCAAATATCTCAGGCAATACAACCTCTGGAAACCTGTTCTAATATCTAGTAGATGTTGAATAATCACAAGCTTTCATGATGACTAATTACTCCAGTGCTGAAAGATTACGTGACCAAGCAACAGAATGCATCCTGTGGCACATTTTTATGCACCTGTTGGAATAATCCCAAATCTCTGGATGAACCTCGCTGCAGATCCAGCCTCGACAAAACAATCTCCACTTTCCATCCTTTATTGCCTTCTCTCTCTCTCTCTCATTTCCCCTGTTTCTTCTAAATAACCCCAATCCTGCCCCTTCATCGTCTCCTCTCCCCCCTCTTGCATCCATCTCTTTCCCCCTACCCAGCCCTTCTATCCCACACATTCACCTTGCTCTGTTATTTCCACACTGTGTGTGTGTGCATGGCTGTAGTCACAGAGGGCAGGCCATTAGTTTGTTAGTTGGTTCTGCAGCTCATTGAGCTCATTGTGCTCCAAAGGCCCTCCAGCCCAGCTGGACTCAACAAGAAGCAAGAACTCCCTTTCAAATCTCTCACCTCCTTTCTCCTCCCCTCCCCCTCTCCTTTAACCCCCACTGCCAGTAATCCCCAACTCAGCCCAAAGATTTAGTTTCTTCACAGAAGTAAACTGAACTTGCTAACCAAATAGCCAGCTTATAGCATTTGTTTGCCAAATTAACAAATTACCTCAAGGAACTTGTGTTGCAGACATCGTGCTAATGGTTTGTTGTTTACAGTGTCAGAGGAGGTAAAAACACACACACAGTGCCCACCTCTTAAGATGTAGAACTAATTAGAGCAACTTCTAATGTCACTTTCTGTTGAAGACACACAGCTGCATTAGCACTGGTTTTGTTTTATCCCGGGACAATACACATTATAATCATTGTGCATCTAAAAGTTCATTTTCATGCCCTTACTGTGCATCTTATAAATTTAAAGCATCACAGCAAGTTGCGGTAAATTTATAGTGTAGCAGTTTACACATTCGCCTAGGAAGCAAAAGATCCCTGGACCGCTTGGAGGTTGAATCAGCAAGGCCATCCAGTGTAAACAATTGCCAAATCAAATGTGTGAGTGGTGCTTCCTTAAGAAGGAGTCACCACTCATATATTTGATTTGCCAAATTTGGTAGCCCAAATTAAAAAATATTGTTAATGTGTTAAAGGATTTTAGTTCATGCGATGACAAAGTGCACCGAGACAATAGCGGCAGGAGACAATATTTGGCAATGGTAGCAGTCTGGTGGTTATGACAGTGTTGCCAAATCGACCTATAGGATCTGCTTGGCCATGAAAGCCCATGGCATGAAGTTCCCCGGCTCAGTTTTTATGCTGACGTTAACTCCAGAGAAAGTTTGGCACTCTGTAGTTACTGAATAAGCAAAGCATTGGTGGCTTTTACACCACGTTCTGTAACTTTACATGGTCTGCACTCTGCTGTGGTTCAAACACACTTTGGAATAACCAGTTAAAGATGATGGACGAATATCTATGGGTGAAGAAATTTCATTAACTGACTACTTGCAGTGCTGGCACCCTGTTACAGTATTACACTCAGATTTATTGAACTCTGTATAATAACCAATTCTTTCCCTATGGCAATGGCACTGAAAACACCTGAATGCAAAGATTAAGAGGTATGGACCAATACTCTTGTCCATGTATGTTTGGACATTACTTCTAAAATATCTGCTAATAAAGCATCACAACAAAAGCAGGGACATAACTCAGAATTACACCGAATCACAAAACTAGAAATCGCTATGAATTTGCCAAAAATTGCAAAGCGATCTACAACTTTTGAAGGGTGAAAGACATACATATTACTTACAATGTGGTACGTGAGATTTAAGAATCTGTGTGGGCACACACACAGTTTATTATCATACTGTTTAATAGCAATTATGTGCAAAAGCAGCCAATTCATTTGCTTTCTACGGGAAAGGAAAAGTCACAAATAATGTGCAGTTTATTACTTATGTTGAGTAAACCCCCAACCTTCAGACTGTAGAGTGGGCCTGTACCATTACAGCTCACTGGGGGTGGAATAGATTGAAATCCTCTGTCAAACACACACAAACACGTTCGCACACAAAAAACACACACTTAATGGTGACCACTTGGCTGGAGCAAAACAAAGCTTTTCGGCAGGCTTTGTTCTCAGCTGAACTCATCTTTCAAAAGGGACTCAGAGCTACAACTTGGACTCAAGAACTTCTGAGGCAGACTGAGTCATTTTTGTCAACCTTTTAAGATGTTCCTCTGGTCCTGCAGGGATTTCATGTGGGCTGGATATCATTGGGTTGTTAATACCACTTGTTTAAACTTACAAATGAACTCAAGAATTTTCACTGATGCCACAAATGAACCTATTCTAAGGTAAACTTAAAAGTCCTAATCAGAATCAGTTGCAGAAGAAACTGAAAGCAGCTCACTAAGGTTGCAGCCAACAGTTTGCTTGCTTATGAATGCAGTCAAAATTGGTACGAGGTGTGACAGCCGAAGTCCTGGCAGATGTGTTTGTGCTTGCGTGTTCTTGATGTTTTGTCTTTGTGAGGACTGACTTGTCTTACTGTTGACAGAAGGGCTTGAATTTATGATTGTAGTGTCTAAGGTAAGGTTTAGACTCCCTGTCTTTGTAAAGGTAAAGGGACTAAACCTGTTGTTTTGTGTGTGTGTGTGTGTGTGTGTGTGTGTGTGTGTGTGTGTGTGTGTGTGTGTGTGTGTGTGTGTGTGTGTGTGTGTGTGTGAGAGAGAGAGTGGGACTAATCATCTCAAGGCTCTGCTCTGCAGTGGAATTTTTCACACATCTGTCTTCACCTTTGAAATCAACGCCTTCGTTCCTTCTTGTCTGTGTCATAGGGTTAGGCTGTCTCCACTTTTCTCCTTATCCACATTTAGTGCCTCAGTTTTCTGTTTCTTTGTTTTGTCCTTGAAATGGCCTTTTCTAGTTATGAGTCAGAAGCAGCACATCTGCAAAAGAAACCATCTGCCTGCATTTTCATTTCCTACTATGCATCAACTGAAAACAAGTATTTCAAGAGAACGGTGTAACAGTTGTCTGATCAAAGTAAACTCAAAAGGCCAGCCCTTGTGTACCAATGAACTAGAGATGTCATAAAACCACATATTCACTATAAGGAAAATACAGTGTTAGCAAATTAGTAAATTACTAAAATTTGAAAAAAAAAATGTACAAAAAAGACAGGGTGAATACAACAATCTGTTCTTTATTTTTAAACCAATATATTGGTTATATAAATTTCCTGGTATAAAGCGGAACAATCTCTTCTTTCAAATATTGTCTTCAGGTGTTCTACTTTCCACAATTAACAGATTTAATTATTAAACCAATTAAATATTAACATTTGTTTTTTGTAGGATAGCCTATCTATTTACAGCTTTCTAAGCTTGTGGTCATGCCCGGATCATCAAGCTACAGCTTTCCTACTATTTCTTAAATTCTTTTTTTATTTTCTTTTTGGTTGGACCCCCAGTTGTATTATATCCTCAGAATGCCCATTCATTGTGGTGATAACCCCAGACTGTCTGCTGAAATGAACAAGAGGGATAGTGAAAGACAGAGGTACATGGAGAAGAGAAGAGAAGAGAAGAGAAGAGAAGAGAAGAGAAGAGAAGAGAAGAGAAGAAAGAGCAGTTAAAAAAAAAGAACTATTAAAAAAAGCTATGAAATACGCAAAACTAAGAAATCTAGCCTATATATTGTGTAATACCCAAATCAGTGAAGCTAGGCGATAGATAATGCATATTATACAATCTTATAATCAATTTTCAACTTATAGTCAATAAATGTATTTATTTATTTATTTATTGCATATAATCCCTCATTCTCATCCTTCTTTAGAACCGCAGGATGTGGAAAAACAACTCTTTGCAGAATCCACAGAGGCGTGGGAGTGGCCAACAGTGGTGCTAGGTTTTAAATCCACACGTGGTCCGGGTCTTGGGCTTGTTTAGCACCCATACATAACTAGAAACTTCTGACCATCTCATGCCAGCGAGTTGCCCACGTCTATCGCGGCAGGGGCAGACGGGATCGGACGAAGGTTTTGATAGCTCAGCAAAATGCCATCTTATCCCCTGAACCAGTTTGCTGAGCTGGAAGAAATGATGTGCAAGGTAAACCAAAGCCCCATAAGAGCGCAAAAGAAAGTTTAGCGGAGAGCGAAAGTTGGCTAGGTCGGGGAGAGGAGGAGGGTGTTAGCCTGCTAGCTGCGCTGTTACGGAGTTTGCGGTCTCCATGTTATCTTTTCGAGTCTGCTTTAGTGGATAAAATGTGTCAGGCTTTCTCTTTTAAGACTCTTCGTCTGTCTTTTGACTGTTCTGTAACCTGAAAGTTTAACTCTGACCAGACGTTAAGTTGCCAGAAAGCAAGTTGTTGTAGTCCATCGCAACTTGGGCCCATGAAATTATCGATTTCATTATCGAGCCTAGTTTGTGATTTTCTCTCAACGCCGGTTAATTAACGTCATTAATTATTAAAGGTCGCTGTTTTCGTGCTAATAGCTTCTTCGATAGACAGTTCGCCAGTAAAGCATCTTATTTATACACATAACCCCAACAAGTTAAGTCACAAAAGTCATGGCTAACAGACTAAAGTCCCCAGTTAGAGCTGTGTTGAAGTGTAGAGGTCCTAAACTTGCTCGAAGTGGGGAAAAAAAGTTTTGTAATACTTTTGTTTGTTTGTTGTTAAAGTTAACATTGCGTATTTTATTCCGTGCACTGAATGGAAACATTGTATAGCTCGTCTTAGTTATCAGAGCAAAAAACGTGTCTTGAAGGTTTTTTTTTTTTTTGTTCCTTAGGTTTAGATGGACGAATCCAAAAATCAAACGGAAAGAGGGGTGACGCTACGTATTACAGATTTGAATCTAAAATATCTGAATTTGTCGTGCCAGTACAATGCAGCACAAAATAAGCATATGGATGGATCGATGTGTCAAAAATTTATTTTGACGACACAAGTTGAAAAAGTGTGCTTTTTATGTACTTGTATACAAATGCCCAGTACCTCCCCACCCCCGAAACTTGGTTCTTGATGCTTGAATCTATCAGGGCACCTGACTCAAAATATTTCCAATGAAAACATTTAACAGAAATGTGCAAATAGAGCAGAAGATGTAACCTTTAGTGTTTAGTGGTAATAACAAAAACATATATTAATGTCTAACATAAACTGGCATAAACTAGTTAGCAAATGTATAAGTTTTAAAATTGCTGAATACTAATAGTAGCTTGTACAGGCTAATGATGTGGACTTTTTGTTTTTTTTAAATACAGCATTTACTGAATCTCAATCTGAGGGAGCCGAACAGAACAGTGCCATCCCTAAGTCTGGCCATGAGAACACCAGGTTACATCGGCGAGCCATGTCGAAACACTTCATTTTCCCTCTCCTCCCTGTCTTGCCTGCCCACTAATGCTTCGGACAGTGCACTTCTGACCTCCAACCAACGGGGACAGCAATCAGAGAGTGATCTACTTTCCCAGCTTGGTAATTCCACGCAGTGGGAGAAGCCAGGCTTCTTTTCCCAGCGCTCTCTCAGCATGGTAGAGACCAGTGGTGCAACAAGAGCAAGTCTAGGCTGGCCTGTGACAGGCACAAAATCCTCCCAAAGTGACATCAGCTCCGCCACACTGAACACCAGTTCCTCCTCGTCTGTGTCTGCCTCCTCTTCGTCGCCGCGCTATAAAACCGAACTGTGTCGGTCTTTCACCGAGAACGGCTTGTGCAAGTATGGGGGGAAGTGCCAGTTTGCCCATGGGCCAGAAGAGCTACGTGATCTAAACAGACATCCAAAATATAAAACTGAGCTGTGCCGTACGTTTCATACCATCGGCTTCTGCCCCTATGGGATCCGCTGTCACTTTGTTCACAACAGCGAGGAAGAAAAGAAACTTTCATTCTCTCGTTCTTCCTCCTCAAGCCTTCCTCAGCAGCTGCCCTCCACCTCCTCCTCCCGCTCCCATCGGCCACGTCTTATCCGGCAGAGTTTCAGCTTCTCTGGGTTTCCCTCAGCTCCCCACCAGGCCTTTCAGTCTGCCCTCACTCCTCATGTTTCTCTTGCCACCACCTCATTCACATGCCCACCAACGGCCTCTTCTCCTTCCTGCGCAGACATTACTGATCTTCTCTCCCATGCCTTTCTAGAAATGAACTCTGCCTTTGAGGTCTCCCCCGCTCAGCAGCACCATCCTCCCGTGGGTCCAGATCCCAGGTCTCCATTCATGCCCTCCCCTGACTCCGGCTATTCTCCGAGTGGGTTATCTCCAACGAGCTCCCCTTCCTTACAGCAGAGTCCCAGTGCTGCGGGGGTCCTTTCAGGGCCACTTGGTGTTAGATCCCTGTCCCACACTTCTCTCTCAGACCAGGACCAGGATGGGATCAGCTCTGCTGGTTCACTGAGCGGCTCCGAATCATCTGGTGGCATTAACGAAGCTAACGGCAAACGTCTGTTAGTTTTCAGTCAGCTCTCTCTTCCTGAGGATGCCACTGGGTTCTGCCTTTAAGCTGCAGATTGCTGGAACATGTGTACATGAGTATCCATACGCAGAATATCCACTGCGCACGTAGCCATACTTAAGAACACAGACCCTTAAACGCACACTCCCCGCTCACACACTGACTGACAACTAAGACATTTTTAGCATTCTGTGTGAAAAAATGACTGGGTGACCTAACACGCTGTCACACTGCACGCCACTGTCATTTGCACAAGGCACAGTGATGCTAAAACTCCAGTTTGTATGTGGCGGATTCACCAAAACGGTATATCTCAAAACAGATGTTTTAATGGTGTCCTTAAAAACCTTTTGAAGCTTTATCAAAATGATATGCTAGGATGGCAAAGTCCAACAAAGAATTTTGTAATCACAGTGTGAATTTAATTTCCTCCTGTCAGCATACTGCGACAGATCTAAAGAATGTGAGAAAGCCAAAGACATCTGTTTGTTGCTCGTTCGTTTCAGTAGGACAAACACGATGTGACGGTATGTTTAGGAGTTCTTCCATCTAATGTACACTGTATTGTTTATGTAATGTTTATAAGCTCGTGAAGTAGTGTTTTTGTTTTTCGCCCTTCCCTCTTGTGGTTGTACCATCTGGGGGCTGTGTTTAGATCGCTGGCCTCGAATCTGAATGTTACGTTTTTAAACAATGTATACCTGTAGTGTTATTTACCAGGTCTTGTTACGTTGTTGAACCAAGATTTGCTGCTGTGTTTGGAGAGATGCGAGCATGGGGTGAGAGTCTTCTTTTATATCAGGAGAGTAAGCTAGTGTGAGCGGAGGCGTTGCGTTTCTGCGGCTACTGCAGATGCTTTTTGGGTTCTCGTGCATTATTGACAAACCTCAAGCAGTCAAGTGTCAATTTGCCAAATTTAAACCACTCTGCAGCAGAGTGAAAAGTGACTCAGTCAGGAGAGCTTGGGTGCATATGGGTTCATATTGCACGGTTGGGAAAGCACAAGGTACCAGGCGCTGAATATCCATGCCGGGAGCTAGCCAATTAGTTCGATATGAATTGATGAGGTCAGAGCTTGAAGCCAGGTGACTATTTTCTGAGAAGTTGTCGTTTGTGGTGCTGAAGTGTTCGGGGTTTTCTTTGTTGTTTTTGTTTGTTTGTTTTTTATCTCAAACACTCCCAGTAAGTTTTTGTAAAGTGAGACTCTCACTCCGTCACTCAATCTCTCTGTTATTCAGTATTAATCTTTTTTTTTCTCTTTTCTGTTGATGCCTTTGTTGTTAAGACTGAAAAGTATCCTGGTCACATGCATGCGTAATATGCTCCCAGGTCTTTTTTTTTTTTTTTTTTTTTTGCCTTACGAAGCTAGAGTCAGCCTACTGTAGGGTTAGAGGTATGTGTGCTTAGTGTTTTAGAAAATGTTACTTGGCTGTTTATTGTTTTTTCTTGTGTTAATGATGTAGTTGGTCTATTTAAAAACAAAAAACCCTTTTTCATCAGCGTGTTTAAGGCCTGTTTAGTGGTAAAGATGATCTTTAGTAAATTAATTTCTTTAATTTATTTTTAACATATTTATAGAGGACTTTTGAGTTGTTAATGCTTGCATCAAGTTTAATATATTTTGCTTTTTTGTACTGGAAATAAAGGAGTTTGTTTTTTTTTTAACTGTCTTTCTTTGACTTCTGTTTGCCACCTGCAGGTAAAAAGTGAAGATTTTAACATTTGATGTGCAAACTGCTTTTATTGAATAATGCAGATGTTTAAAAGGGAGGGGGTTTAAATATATGCTATGCTGGCGTTAATGTAGCGTTGGCAAAAAGGCTCACAGGATGTAAGGTTTTAGGTGCAGGAAACCAGTGAACTGTCATTTCTGCTTTTCGTTTATCACATTTCCCCAGTGACCTGTGCCGTTGAGGTTAACCGTATCTATACAATAAAATAATTCCATTTGAGCTCTAAACCTCATTCATGAAGCTCATCTCAAGTTTATTTCCTCTAGATGGCTAACCTTTAAAGTATTCATGCAGTAGTTTACACTACACAAGTATTCCCTATACTTCCAGGATTAAGAAGTATTCTGTGATGCAGTCTCAAGGTGAAGAGTGTGAAAGCAATACTGATGAGAGCCTTTGAAATCCAGGAAAAGTCTTGGCTTTTTATTTTCCCTACAAAGCTTAGCCTTCGCTTCTTAAAGGGAAAAGTGATACTTGTGGATTTTAAAAACTCAGTGGCTGCTGGAGTCTGAAGCGAAGTCTCGGGGTTAAAAATGAGGAAAGCACTGTGGTCTCTCGCATCCTCGAAGTTCAGGTGCAGCAGTGTGTTTCTGGCAGCAAATTTGCAAATCAAAATGGATTTAAGCGAGTTTGGCAGTGCAGTCATGGCTGTCCCGGCCACTGCGGTCGAGGGTAATACGACAGTGGGGTGTGAATGTGGGAGTGTGGAGCAGTGTCACTAAAATTTCATGTAAAGATGAGATGTCTTTTGTTTGGGGTTTAATCTTACCAATCTTCAGTTTCCGCTTATTTCCTTTCTGCCTTCCCTGATTCCATCCCACATCCCTCACTTTGTGGTTACTTACATCTCCCTTCCTTTTCACCTCCTGCCCCCTCTATACCAGTATAATTGGAGTGCAATGCAACAGTTCCTGATATGAGACAATCTGACAAAAACACTTTACAAAAAGGCAGGCTTGATTAAAAAAATTAAAATATGATTTCAGGGCTTAAGATGCCTACTCACCCCTGATACTCAAGGAATCTCTCTGTCATGCACACACACAAGGGCTATTATTTTGTCACTTAACATGAGGCTGTCTGGTAGTGATTAGTGGCCGTGAAGGGTTTAGAGGCATGCATCTGCTGTGTGTGTAGGCATTGTGTTCTATAGATATTCTCCCGGTTGCCCTGTGGGACATAGGAAAGACAGGCAGATGGCTGTATTCAGGTCCACCGCAGGTCAACATATGGCTGTGAGAGTCTTACTCATACCATGCTTGAGTGGAGGAAGTTGAATGCGCTGCTGTGACGACAGAAAAGTGATAAAAGGGGAAGAAGAAAAGTGGAGATGAAGAAAATAAAGGGAGGGCAGTATGAGAGGATGAAAGCGGGTGTCATCATGTGAGATCATACAGATTAAAAGCAGCAACATATGTTTTTAGGTTTCTCAGATGAAGTAAAACGCGGCCTTTTGCGTTTGTGAGATGTAATGATAATAATAATAAAAACAGAAAAAAATACCTTCACACTTCTTTGTGGACGCATGGAAGTGACACAGCTTACTTAGATTGCTTTGAACCATATTTGACTTTGAATCAATACATAGTACACATTTTAGGGAGTTAAACACAGATTTTAAATTGCAGCTGGTGATGTTTTAGTTTTCTTGTACTTATTTCAAATAAACTGAAACAGGTTCTCTCGCAGCTTCTCACACAACAAAAGACTTCAGTCGGTTTGTGTGGACAGTGTAGCTGAATTGTAGCAAGTCATCAGTTTAGGAATACGAATGCTGGTTTAACTTGCACACCCCCCCCAACACCTTTCTTTTCTCCAGCCATGAACACACCCCCTCCTTTTCTTCCGCTCGCATTCACCGTTCTTCTTTGTGACCGCATTTGGTGACATTGTGATGCGAGGTAGAGCAGGAGGAAGGGAGGCCAAGCCGTGTGGCGCGGCACAAAACGGCTGTTGCTCACCGTCCTGAGAGCCAGTCTCAGATTCCCTCACTCCTTATTGTTTCAGGCATTTATGTACAGACGCAAGGTACTTCTCTCACGCTCACTCTTTCCTCTCCTCATCATCACGCCCCCTCCATCTTTCTCTTTTCTGCCTCCCTCAGCCTCTAATAAACTTCTCCTTTCCACTTTTCACCCTTCAGCCTCCTGTTGAGGCTCTTCATTCTCTCTCCATCTAATTTTCCTAAAGCCCACTCTCTGTCTCCTTCAACTTTCTACAATTCGACCCCCTCCTAGTCTTTTTTTTTCTCTAATCCATCCTTCTGCTCCCCCCTTCTTTCCAAATGGTATTTGGACTAAGTGTTTAATGAGTTGCAACAAATAGGCAAAAGAGTGGGCAGTAGGCAGATGCTACACATTTATGCAGACATCTAACTCAATGTCTGTTTTTTTTCTTTCACGTCCAGCCCTTCACTCAGGTTGCTATTACCTAAGATGCACAGCAAGGGTCGAAAGGCAGCATACTTATAAGCAGTGACCTTATTTAGCTTTTTATTTTTTGGAATTTTAAGCTCATTCAAGTACCCTTATCTTTAGGGCCTCCAAAATAAGAAGATAACCCAGTTACAAGTGCCAAAGACAAGAGAGTCAAGAACATACGCTCACTGGCCAACTCATTAGTTACACCTTATTAGTACTGGGTTAGACCCCCGTTAGCCTTAATTCTTAATAGCATAGATTCAGGAAGGTGGTGAAAACATTCCAGAGAGTTCACTGCATGTTGACATGATAGCATCACACTGCTGCTGCAGATGTGCACATTCATTACATAAATCTCTTGTCCTAACACATCCCAAAGGTGCTCTATTGGTTTGAAATCTGGGCAATGTGGAGGCCATTTGAGTACAATTTGAGTTTAAGATGATTTAAAGATCTTAACAACATTACTACGCTACAAACATACTGAACCAATAATACAAGGCAGGATGGATCCATGCTTTCATGCCAAATTCCAGCACTACCATCTAAATGTTACAGCAGAAACTGAGACTCATCAGACCAGATGTTTTTCCAGAATAATAACTGCTGTCACACCAGTATGAACAGTTGTGGAAATTAGAATCAACACTACAACCTCTGAAAGCCCAAGCTTGAGCCAGACACACCGAAGGGAAACAAAGTTGTATGTAAAGACCTTTATTGAGTAAAGTTTTCCCACCAAAGGCAGTGAAATACTGGAACACAACAGGAGGTATTTTCCTTAGATTGGAGACAGAAACAGAACCAGATGAAAACCACAACATGTGCAATAATGTCAGTGTTGTGCCATATCAAAAACTGTACCAACTTGTGTTTTGACCAACCTTGGAGGTATAGGCAAACAAGGCTTCAAGTTAAGGTTGATCTTTTTGTTATTAAAAGTATAGACTAATCTTAATGCTTAAGAAGTAGAGCAGAGTAAAACCACTTCCTATCTTTTTCTTTTACCTTTCACATGAAAAAGCCTTGATATAAGCTGTAATTGTCAACTTCAAGTCTTTTTTTTTTTTCTTAAATGGAAATGTTCAAATGTTTTCTATCATAAATTTAAAAAAGAAAAAAAAAAAACTAAATTTATGTATGGGTCAGGTATCATGGAATAATTACACCAATGTTATTTGAAGAACTGATGAAAGTAACTGTGATGACCTCAACACTTGGGGGGGTCTGCATAGCCAAATCTGAAGAAATTACTTGAAAAAGACAGAATGGACAACAAGATTCTGGACATACCTCAACAACATGGTGAATCTAAACTCAAAGTATCAGACATATTGTAATCCGATTGTTAAGTGATGACGTGACGAATCCTACTTCCGGGCCTAAAGTAGTCTGCGTTTAATATGGCTTTTGTGTTGTTAACATGTTTAATGTTATGTATTTTCTTCTATATAATCTCAAAAAGCTCCTAAAACAGTCAGTGATCACTGTTGACCTCCCTCGGCTTTTATTACCGCTAATCATTTATTTAAGCTCAGTTTTTAAAACCTTAGGATGTAACTACAGCCCAGCCCATGCAGCAGTATATGAATGACTAACCTCGTATTGTGGATGGATTATCTCAGTTGTTCTCCTGGCTGAAGTTTGGTCCTTTTACAGCATCCTGCCATGCGATTACATTTGTTCCTGACCACCGAGGACACTCACGTTAACTTTTATCGAGTGGAAAAAAAGTTAGCTTGTTTATATTATGCTAACATAGCTGAGTCGCTAGCGGTCACGTAGCCAATCATTATATACCAGCTAGCCCAACTTCAGTAACCCTACAAACGTCACTGCTGTTTTAGCTTTCTGTTTTCATTTATGTTGGAAGTGATAGCAGAGCTGTACGTTTTCATTTGTTTCCAAAACCCCGCAGTCAGGACATGCTATATTGTATTTAGATAGAAGCTAGCGAGCTAACTTCCTGCTAACTTTAACTCTGTTAAATGTCATAAATTCCATTTTTATGGATGCCTAGATGTTAAACTCAATTGTTACACCTGGTAGAGCAGAAAGCTGATCAATTTATTAAAGATGAAAGACTTTAGACAGTTTTTCAACTCTCAGTAATGCCATAGTGATCGTTTGATATATGGACCTGCAGCGGAGTTTAGGCCCAGACACGGCTAGTGACATCAGACTGAACAACCAGATAACAGCTGTATGTGTCCCCCTAGTGGCAGCAACAGTAACAGCCTTTCCCAGAGAAGTGATCATTTTATGGTCTTACATTTTATGTTTAACAAACCTTGTTTTGTTGTTTTCTTGTCACAGCATTTTAAATCCATTCAACAAAGTGGTTTAGTCAGGGGGGAAAAAAAGAATAAATAATAAATATTATCCAACTGCCTGACAACTGTATGATTAACTTTCATTGTAAACCCCAACATGTTTTACAGCTTACTTACTAAATTCCAGGAAAAATGTCACATTTAAATATCAATGCTCTAACAAGAGAAAACACATCCATCATGATGAAAAATAACATAGAAATACATTCAAGTCTACTCCACTCTTAAATGTGAGACCACTACATAGAACAACAAATAAGCTCGTATCATTCCACTTGGAAAAATTGTACAAATTATTGTTCTAGAAACGTATTACATTCACATAACTTGAAGAAACGCAAATATTTCTACCAGTGTATTATTCTAGATTTGCATTTTGCCTTAGAAAAAGTCTAAGTGATTCCCACTACTACATGAAAGACTTCTCTCCTGAAGTCAAAACTAAAAACCAGAGCGAAGCACCAGGAATTGGATACAGCTTTTTCTGTAAAGAACAGTAAGCACTGAATAATGAATGCAATCAGCCAGATGTAATGATTTGCAAAGGTTCATTAGCCACCAATGGAATGGATGCTGAAAAAGATTGCATTAAATGCCATCCACAAAGATGTTTTCTCTTGACTTATGCGGATTGTCCTCCTGTAGTATTTTTGTTTTTTAAACTTTTTCCAATTTTCAGACTAAGCACTGCAACACATTACAAAGAATACATATCCTGTTAATAACTACACATTCACTTTAACTTCATAGTATTCAGTTGGAAGCCAGTGCTTAGCAGATAAAAAAATAACTTGAGTTGAGAATGTAAAATAAGCAAAAACCTTCAAAACCAGAATCAGTATCCAAAAGGATTTATATTTGAGCCCTGGCTACCTGTTTTTACCAATCAGTTGTACCTGGTGGTCA